GGCAGCGGGGGCTGACGCTCGTGGCGGCGGAATCCAGAATCCACCGGAGTCGGCGGCCCCGCGCGGACTGCCCCGGCCCCGGCCCGTGCGGGTCGTAAAAGCGGAGGTCGTAGATAAATGGAGAAGCTTTTCTGTGCCGCAATTTCGGGAGCCGTGCCGACGATGATATGCCGTGGCTCTGCGCGCGCCCGCGACCCGGCGGCAGCTCTCGGAACAAATAAGGCTTGCGATTGTCGCGGGTTGACGCTCGTGGCACCCCGGGCACCCCCGCCCCGCCCCGCCCCGCCCCGCCACGACGCATGAAATGCGTGATGTCACACGCCTGACTTTCTCCCGCTGGCCGGAGCGCCGCAAACGCAACCAAGGGCTCCTCGCCTCTCTTCCTTGCGGGGAACTCCACGCTCACCGTTTGCAAGGGAGCGGGGGCGGCAGGCGGGAGTGGGCAGGGGCATACCAGAGCAGGGCAAACGATCGCATTCGAGTAGGGCGCAGCGACACGGCTTATGGGATATGGACGGAGGGCGGGGGCGGGCGGCGGGCAGGTGGGTGCACAGCAGGCGGGGGCGAGGTCACGCGGCTGGGGCACTGGGGCAGCGGCAGCCGCAAGGGCGGTTCTGAGGTAGCGCGCAAGGGAGGTCTCCCGCCCCTCCTTGCAAACCATGACTGGCTCCAGTGAGCGGGGCGGGGACCTGTCGTCCTGCAGGTCAAAACTGCCGACTCGAAAGGTCCTGCGCGCAGTGTACACACACTATCCGCACGTAACGCATTGGCTGGGCTGGGCTGGGCCGACGCGTACTTCCCCGCAGTCCCGCGGTGGCGCCACCGCTCTGGCCATTCCCGACAGCCTCGCCTGGACTCGACCCCCTTCCCTTCCTTTTCCCGGCCCCGCGCGCTCCGCGCCGCCGACCCGCCGACGCCTTTCTCCATCCTTTCCGCGGCCGCCGCCCCGCGCCGAGCCGGCAGTACTTACTGACAACGGCGCGATGTGAACAGGTCGATATGAAGGGCAGTTCTCGACCAATCCAAAATACACATCCCATGGATACCGTTGACCATCATGTCTTGCTCTGAGGAGCTATCAATATTGTGTATCAATATGGCATTATTGTTCTATCCCACTGACTCAGTTTACCAGTCCTTCTTAAGCTGTGCACGGGGCCATGGGATGATCCTTGAGAAAGGATGGGCTATGGGATTTGGGGAAGGGGGGGGGGAGAGATCTTGGGCACTGTGACATGCCAGTATGGTGGTTTGCATAAGCACCGGCTCGCAGGCGCAGTCCGGAGCGCGCGGGTTTTCGCGCATCCCCGAGGAACCGCGAAGAACCCAGTGGAACCGCGGGGGATGCGTGAAATCCTGCAGTGGGGGTGCTCGCGGTTCCGCGGGGGATACACGGAATCCGGCGTGTTCCCGACTGCGCCTGCGAGCCAGCGCGTATGCAACTCACCATACTGGCATGTAAGATCCGGGACACCCGGTACCTACGTCCATAATTCAGATGGACATATGACATAGGCATCTGCTGAGGCTCTTTAGGTGGAGCGGGTAAAACACTGTTCTGAAAATCCATGAATCCCATGGATTTTCCCGAAAGTTTGTGCGTCTTCATCTGCCATGCCATGGTGTCCATCTGAACTTTGGGCTGGGAGTTGTGATGTAGGTGCGAGTTTGCCTACCGTCAGTACAGTACAGTACAGTAGGTGAACTTGACAAGCGGCTCGTCAGCGCGCCGTGTGAGTAGGCAACCCGTCCTCACCACTGCGTGCGGCACAGCATACCTATAGGAGAGGTGGTGGTGGCGAGAACAGCGCTTGAGGGGAAGAGGGGGAGGGGGACAAACTCGCGCTGTGTTCTTCAACCTCCGCTCAATGACAAGCGCCCCCCAAGGCGTTGGATCGCCCCCAAGAAAACCAGTTTAGTTTGCTGATAGTATATTTTGCCCTTCAGAAACCCCTACGGCCCCAAGCCACGGGCCTGACCGGCGCAGGGTCAGGGTGGTCCGCCGGGTTGCGTCGCGGTCTGCGACCGGCTATACCACGGAAGGAGCGCCTCGCTGCGTCTCGGCGTCTCGGGAGTACCCCTACTCGCGCGCCCCCTTCCCGCGCCCCGGATTCGCGCCCCGCGCCACGTTCGCCATCGCGAGGCGTGCCATTTCGCGACTTGTCTCTTGGTTTTCCCGCGCGAGACGTTCGGCCTTACCCGCGAGTGCCCGGGTGTTATATCAGCTGCCGGGTAGCCCCGGGCGCGGCGGGGCGCGGCGGGGCGCGGCGGGGCGCGGCAAGGCACACGGCAGGTTGTTATTCTCGAAGGCCTCGAGGAGGAGCGCGGCCGCGCGGCCCAGCCCAGCAGCACGGCCCCGGGGCCTTTTCGCGTTGTTGACACCGCGACCGCACGACGGGCCGGCGGGACACCACCGCCCCGGGAATCTCCCTCTCTGCCGTGGTGGAACACCCCGACGACGGCTCCCTCACGTGTCGCGCGTTCGACGAGAGGGGCCCGTCCCATCGCGGAACGGCCCGAGGGAACACCCAAAACGCCGAGGGAACACCCGCGCGCCCCACGCCCCCGCGCCACGTGTACGTACTTACTCGGCGGAGTTGGGGCAGCGCGACCGAGCAAAAACTATATCGGAGGAGGGCGAAACCACAGAGCTCAAAACGAGAAGTGGGTAATGAGTGCGACAGCTGATTCATGGGGACCAAATGAATGGAATGGATGCAGGTATCGGGTCAGGGTGCAACAGACCTCGCGCACTGCGGGGGGGGCGGGCCGCTCCCCTGCCGCAGTTGCACCCTGACCCGACCCGACCAGACCGACCAGACCCATCGGTATATACCGCGAATAATGCGCCCGCGCGGGCGAGGGCCAAGTGGCTGCCCATTGCCATGACACGGCCGAGTCGTACCGAGAAGCCGCACCGCTGGGTTGACCATATAGCTCTTTGATGATGGCGACGTGGCCGTCGCGTCGGCGCCGCCGAATAAACCGCGCGGCAGGGAATTCCTGCCGATCCCCGGCCAGACCGACCGACCGGGCGGGTGAGGGAGTGAGTGTGCGTCGCAGGCAAGAAGGGCTTGCTGCGTCAGCACGACACACAAACAAGGTACTGCCCCCGGTGTTGTGATTCGACAGGCGCTTGAGGATCGACCGCCGGTGTGTGGCGTTTTGGAGTCCGTCGTCGGCATGGGCCCTGCCGTTGTTGAGGCAGGTCAGGGCCGCGGTCCTTACTGCTCGCTGCGCACTTTGCACCGCGCCGTGCGAACTCCTTCCTCCTGCTCCTCCTCCTTCCTCCTGCTCTTCCTCCTCCTCCCCCGCCCCGCAGCTAGTGGAGCCGTGAGATTGCGGTTGTTGTTGTAATGGTCGCGTGATCGCCTTCACCGGAACCCTCGTCGCGCGTTCCCAGGCGCGGCCAACTCATCGTCATGTGCTCCGCGACGAGGAGTTTCCCCGGCCCCGGGACCATACTCGGCCTCCCCCCGCCGCACCGTGCGCCGGCCCGCCCCAAGCTTCCCGTCCCGAAGTAGCCCGCATTCCCCGGCTCCCTGGTCGCGTCCGCGGCGCCCTCCCCGCGGCGGCTCACTCTCGCGGCCCTCGCGGTGCGGGCGGCGCCGGCAGGGGCGCGTGCGCCGGCCTCGGACGCAGCCCCCCCAGGCGCCACGGCGCACGGGTATTTTGGGGGCGGGTGAAAATTTTTGGCTCACCGTCGGGGCTATTTGTGCGGCACGAGCCGAGAAAGCCGCGACGCCGCGCCACGCCGAGCGTCCAGACGCCGTGGCCGCGACGCGGCGCGGGTCGCGAGGAATTCTGGTTTTCCCGCCGTCCACCGTCGGGACTGGTTGTCAGTCTGGCCGCCAGCGCGCGCCACCGTGGTCGCCCAAGCCCGCCCTCCCCCACCCTGCTCCAAGTGGCAGTGACTTGACTTCCCCTCCCCCACCTCCCGCAGTACGAAGTGAGAGCTCGAGCTGAGAGGTCACGGTGCGTCCGTCCAGCATTGTGTTCGGGATCGTAGCCCGAGAGTGACGCGAAGTGTTGCCTATTTTCGCGCAGTTTATTTGTTTTTGCGCAAATCAGTGCGTCTCTCCGTGCCCACAGTGCGAGTTGTTGTGGCCCCTTTGTGCGTCGCTCCGGAAAATGTTTGTTAGTGCGCTGTGCAAGCCGAGCTCAGCTTGCTTCGCTTTGTGCAGCGGTGGCAGCCTCGAAGTGCAGCAAGTGCAGTGACGGAGTGCATGGCCCTGGATATCGCCAGCTCCTCACTGAGCAGCTGACAAGCCCACTGTGGATTACGTCGGCTGACTTCCCTACCTCTGCGCCCCACAGCTGCCCCCAGCTGTGAACAGCTGCTATCGGGTACAGCCTCCCAGTTGCAACATAACCTCTCTCAAGATGGACCCTACAACAGTCTCAGGAGCCAACTTTGCCATCCGAAGCTCGCGGGGGCGTGAAGCTTGTGATGAGGGCACAAAGCTCGGTGATCACCTGGACAGCAAGTGTAACTCTGTGTATGATTCAGGGTGCATAGACTCTGGGTTCCACTCTGGAGCCAACCTTAGTTCAGAACAATTTGTGTCAGAGGAGATAAGGTCATCTAGACATGGTAGTGATACGGAACTTGACCCTCCTACCAAGTCTGTAGATAGTGACTCTAAAAGTTATACCCGGCTAGATAGTGGTGTGGATCTATGCCTAAATGACCAGTTTAGCAGTTTAAATTTAAGAAGCACGAACGATCTCAATGAGCCTCCGTCAAAGAGTCCCATGTACCTACCTAACATCAATGTGCCAACTGTAGAATGTACAACAGTGTCGCCATCAGAAAAGTCAACGCCATCACCTGCCCCATGGGAATTTTATTACCAACAGAATGAAGAAGGAGACACGTAAGTTCTATATTACATTATCCTTAGCATATGTTTGAAATTACCTTAGTTGACAATTTATAGTGACAAAAATAACTTACGTTCAATAATTGTAGCTGTCAAACTTTAATTTGCCTGTTCTCACGTCTGTAACCACTTAAACGAATCAGAATCTCAAAAATGTCTCCACCGACTTTGTATTGCA